AGCACATCGAGCAAAGGTATCGAAACAGATAGACAGTCAACTTCTGATACTGAGTCCGAAATCTCATTTTCTGAGCCTGCTAGTATTATTTAAGCTGGAGATTGTATTCTCTCAGCGACGATCGTCATATTAGCTCTCTCATTTACAGTTGGAAGTGATGACTTGAGGTTCACACGCATGGCGGCTTTTTCTTCACCCTAATTCATCCCTCTTTTGTGAATACCTACCCAGGAGAACGTCTCAAAAACCCAGAGCTATCTAGACATGCCTCAATCAACTATTTACTTTTCTCCGCACGAAATGTGGACTGAGGCGTCTCCTTCCCAAGTGGAGTAGGTGCCCAGGCTACTCAGACTATATGTTAAGCAAAGTTATACTTATATGAATCTCTCACAGAGTTTATTGAATTGATTGTCTCTCCCATGAGGAATCTATCTAGGTACTATATACATCTTGAGTATCCTACTAATTCCAAATATAGACTGAATATTAGATTGCAAATACGAACTGCTCAAATCTCTGTTCCATACATGGGTCTAAGATTGGCTGTTACATTATCATGGGCAATAGAAGGAGTGAAACTACAAGGGAGTTGTGCGTATGAAATTGGCCATCCGTCTAGTCGCTAATTGTAACATTTGCATGACTAAGTTATTGCCCTTGATGCATCAGCCCAGTTTACTTGCTTGTAAACTACTCAACTTAAACATCATGAGACAACATTTAAACTTAGGGTAATCTGTTTGACACTATACCAGAGAACACCACTCATCCAATTGGTGTTATAGTCCAGAAACAATACCCCATATATTGTTCTGTTATTCGTTGACTAGCCATAGAATCACTTGGAAGATTCTTCTTCCATTCCCGGTGATCATTATTCTTGTGTATCACAAACTTGGCCTACACCATTACAGTAGTATCATTTCATCAATGGAAATTATTTTAAACTCTATCTTTCCCACAACCATACTCCTAATCAACTTGATCTCTGGCTTTCGTTAGCCCCGACGTATATGCCGGAGGACCCTGACCGTGACGCGAACCTGGCTGGAACAATATTCGCGGCCCATGTGCAGTACATGGGGACCGACAGGATATTTTATTACGTAGATTTCGTGAAGGTATCCCGAGTGAAGAGGGACGTTGTGCATGCTATGACTTTGATTTCGAGTGTCCGTGAATCGTTGCTAACGCCGGAATCGAGGCCTATGATATAAGCCCGACTCGCCCTTTTTTTTTTTTTTTTTTATCATTTAATGTGTATTCAGCTATCTAGCTATGACACATGATCGGTGCTATGTATACATGTGGGATGACTCTTTTGACGTTAGAGACACTCATACTCTGGATTTCATTCGCAAATACCACTATGAGGTATGTTCGCTTACACAAACAGTCGACCCTCCTCCGTAAGTACCCACCAAAGGGAAATTCATAACCTTTGGTTATCCGAGCATGCCTAAGTCATTCATGCATACCAGCGCCGCGAGAAATTTGGTTGTGTTTTGCCGGATTCGAAGCAGCGATCTACTGTCTCGAGTGGGATATGTGTCCAAGCTATCCAGACTCTACTTGGCAGACCGACCAACACGATGTACCACCGCACCATCCAACCATGGCGATGTTTATAGTGTCGCTTGCACTCTCGCGACCAAAGTCTTGGCACGCACAAAGCTCAATTTGTAAAAACTCCTTGCCAAAATTCAAAATTCCACGCCCGTCGAGACTGAATCCACCCTTCGCATCATCTTTTTAACTTGTCCTGAATCCTCTCACGCCATTACCAAAGAACTGTCTCCCAGATTTGTGCGCCACGCTTTGTGTCCTCCGTCGGGTATAAATATCGGCGTGGGCGTGTATTTGGTGACCGGCTGAGGCCAGAGAAAGTCGACGAGAAGTGTGATCATTGGAATAAGGATGTACTAGATCGCACTCGTAGACTTGATGAGACTTAGACAGGAGTCAAACTCGTTAAGAGAGAAGATTGACGTGGTGGATTATTTTGAATTATTGCCTCGTGGGTCAACCTGTTCGGTATTGCGAAATTTGACTGAACTTGGCTCTGGGAGAATATTTCACTCCCAGGTTCGTAGTGGACACCGCGTACAGGTGTTCAGTCTTGCCCCCCCGACTCGCCCTAGCGCGGTTGGAGCAGACTGTGCATTTTCTTCAATCGGCTTGGAAATTGGATAAGGCCACATTCGTAGCAGTGACAATAGATCGGAAGATCAGAGCGCATGGGGAATCTCGTGCCTCCCAAGTTTTATTCATGAGGCAGCTTTCACCACTAAGAGATGGGTAAAGAGCTTGCTTCACATGTCATACGATGGTGCCTGACATAATTTGATTCTCTTCACTTAGTGCGTATTAGGATGAAAAATGAAAGCGGTATGATTGTGGACAAATGTCCCCAAAGTCATTCACATCCTTGGCATGCGGGTTAAAGTGACTTACAAACTACATTATAGCATTGAGTGCCACAGGACAGGAAGTTTTCCAATCACACTTACATTTGTTAGTAAATACATAACCTTTATTTTCCTTTTCCTCAGTAAGGGGTACTGATTTAAAATAATTCTAGTTGCTATGCGCTAAGCGCTAAGCGTGGTGCATCTCTAATGCTGAATTATTGCCATAATGACTCAGCCAATACCACGAACTCCACGTTCGTACTGTTCTCAGATATAGAAAACAGACACGATACACATTTCACACTCTAACCTTTCGTTTTGTATTGAATTGATCCTACATATACGTACATGAAGGCCACTCGACAGGTATAGAAATAATCCAATAGTATATACTTGAACTCTCTTATCCTTTTTTGTATTATATCATATTAACGAGCTATATAGCTTTGGCACATGATCGATGTCTTGCGTACATGCTTAATGGCTCTTTCGATCTGAGAGGTCATCATCCTCTAGGTTTCATTCGAAAATATCACCATGAGACATCTTAATTCTCACTTGAAAGTCGACTCTGGTCCGTGAGTACCTGCAAAAGTAAAGTTTCACGGTCTCTAGTATCCAAGCGTGCCCTCATCGCCCTGTACACGAGCACCACGCGAAATATGATCGAGTCTTGCCGGGCTCGAGCCAGCCATCTTCAGTCTCAAATAGCATAGATTTCCAAGCTATCCAGGCCGTACTTGGCAGACCAGTCTGATGATGTACCACCGCACCATCTAGCCATAACAGTGCTTGCAGTGTCGCCAATACTTCCACTAACGAAGACGCGGCGCACAGAATGCTCTTCGATGTGAAAGACTACCCTGCATAATTGGAACCGTTCTTATTATCGTTCCATATGCTGGTCCCCACTTCTCACGTTTATTCCGAAAATCTGCCACGCGAGATTTGGGCGCCACCTGAGAACATTAAAATTTTAATGGACATGACTTTGGAGGCCAATTGAAGCCAGAAGCTAGGTTGAGGAGATTAATAGTCATCGAAACGAGAATATTTTAGGTCGTAGGCGTAGACCTGATGAGGCTTTGGTTGGAGATGTTCAAGACGGAAGAGTAAGTTTGATGTAGTGAGAGAGTTGAATTATTGCGTCGTGAACTGACTTCTACTGTATCGCAAAATTCGATTGTACTCGGCTTTAACAGTAGATTTCACTCTTAGGTTCGCAGAGGACAACATTGAGGAGTGCTCAGTCTTCGTGTTCTCCTTCGTCGCCTCGTTTGTGCGCGTATTAGTGGGACCCGAGACGCTTGGCCATAATTTGTATGATGAGGATCCGTTAGATTTCTCGAAGGCTTTCATCTACGGATGAAATTCTTCATGCAGCGCATCCTTTGCCCAGTCATCTTTTGCTAGTCAAATCTGGCATAGTTGTGGTCCTCGAGAGCTGCACTCAATTGTATCTTAATCCCTGGTCACTTGATCTTTTTGGCTGTTCGTTGCGATGCATTAGCGACGAGTCTAGCTATCACGTACGGGGCATTACCACGCTATAGGTTCAGGCTATTGGATATGCTGGCATCATAGAATTTCATTTCTTACAGCAAAAATTTTCACACTGAATAATTTGTGTACGAGGCTACTTTCTAAAGTGGTTTAGTCCTCACCGGTGCCCGCTGGATGAGAGATGTAAATTTCCCCCTTCGTCTAGAGCCAAGCGCTATACCCCCGCCGGCCCCAGCCATTCTATTTACCAAAATTTCGGCCATAACGAAACTAGATTCTTTCCCAAGTGCTCACCTCCTGACTTTGTAGTACGGTTCCATCGCATAGCACTGTCTTCAGGCTGTGCGTTTTTGTCTCCCAGTGCACGCGTTCGCCGTTCAGATTACACACTCGCATTGCCAATTCTAAACAACTGCGTGACTCATCAAGCACGGACGAGAATAGGGCCAAATAAGGGTTTCACACTGTCGCTCAAGAATACCTCTTTGTTGCGCGACGGCACTACATCTACAACTCTTCATCAACCATAGGCTCGGATTTGTATCACCTCGAGTCTACTAGAGATTATACTCGAGGGGAAGGCATTCCAAATTTGCAACCTTACTACTAGGGCTCACGCTCCCATTAATACTCGGCTGTGTGGATCCTGCAACAACCTGCGACAACGCTGAGGCTTAACCTTGAGCCCGTCTCGGGACTGGTCTGCTTCTCCTCTTCTCTCCAAAATCCTCATCTAGTTCCTCACCCACTTATCATCACTTAACCATATATGTATCTTGCTTGAACAACAGGAAAGACTTTATCATATCCTCAAACCAAGCCTTAAAAAAAGTTGTTAACGCCGCCTATATCCGCCACCTTTCGCCACTAAGAGACAATCACTTCACAAATTACTCTACTCGGACAATTCCGTTAACTCTATACTCTTGGCATTGATCCTTTCTGTTATGTTATTTTGAGTGAGCAAATTGGCCATCCAAGAATCCTAATACATTCTAACTTACCACCGAACGCAGGGAAAAACGGACGCAGAGGAAGCCCAGCTTTCACCGTTAACGCCATTGTACACATAACTCAAGAATCATGAGAGAAGTTAATTTTAGCCTTCCGAATGGCAATAAGGCTTCGGTTGGCATTACAAATGCCCTTTATGATCGTAGAGCGTTAGACTGTACCTCAACTTTACCTCTTATCAGCTCTTTGAACCATCTCTCACAACTTACTACCTCCTCAGCTCGGATTAGAGACATTCTGACGGTCGATGGTGGTGTTGAGCGACTCGTCTGCCTACTTAAGGCAGGCCGAAGTAAAGATCCCATGGATAGGTGGAAATGGAATCTTGCTTTTCAATGTGTTGTGAACGTAGGCGTTAGGGGTTCGGAGAATGTTCGTACACGTGTGGTAGAGGCAGATATAGTTCCCGTCATTGCAACTATACTCGACAATTATATAAAAGTGATGGATCGATATCGAGAAAAAGCTGAAGAGGCTATTCACGCCCAAGAGAAGAAACTCAATGGTTCTCAATCAAATGACCAACATAAATTACAAAAAGACGCCTCCTTTGGGAATCGAAGTGTCCAATCCACCTCCGAATTCCGCACTTCTCGGCGACAACCACCTCCATCTATCGACATACCGGTTACGTTTGCCAACGCTCACATAACAGGCGCAAATGCCACGGATAACATTTCCTCATTACCACAAGCTTCGCTCACCTCGCCCACCGAACGAGCAAGCACCATGGCCAACCGAAATCAACATAACTATCGCGCTCGTGAATTTAGGCAATCATTTCTGCCACCTTCCCGTCACAATATTCAGCCATTAGCCGCTGTACCATCGATAGATACAACTGATGGCTTTAGTATTCGTCCTGTGCGTGATGTAGATCGCCTACCTTCAATGACTCTTGGGTTCCATAGCAGTCTTGCTTCTCAGCCAGAATCACCCATGACGCCGCTTCCCCCAATTGCGAGGCCTTCGCTCAGAGCAACGCCAGACGCGAGACCTCAGCGGAGCCCTTCCCTTCAACTTCAGGTCTCTAATGTCATGGAGCCAACCAGCAGTACTCTGAATACCAATGAGTCTATTCAGACTAGTTTAGTTAGCAGGGTAAGCATTCAGTCTCCAGTTAACGTTGATATTCAAGATATCAGCATGGACGAGGGCGATAGTATCCTTACTTCAGCCGACTCTGCCCTCGGTATGGCCACCCCTCCCACAGCTTCAGAGACACAGCATGCCAACAATTTTGAAATTGCGCATCAATCTGCACTCGAAGACCGTATTATGAATGATGCCACCACACCCACCGGACCCGCACTTGTACTATCACCGAGCATTCCAACAACCATTAACCATCAGCAAACCATATCAAATACAGTCCTATCTCGACACATGTTTGATCGCTCTATGGACTGTCATGAACTCGCTTCCATGCCGAGAGATGAGGACGTTCTGATGTCACTTCAGCTACTTGCGTATGTCTCCAAGTACTGTAATCTCCGATCATATTTCCAAAAATCGCACCTAGTTCCCAAGTTAAAAGTTGGACCTGAGCTAAAACAACTTGATATGGATAACGCCAATTCATCTTTCCCTTCAAATCAAGCTAATTCTAGCATCATAGCTGATGAGCAAGAAGAGGAGGAATACCTTATCCCTGAAGACTTCAATATTTTTCCTCTTGTTGAGAAATTTACCATAAGACATCACAGTCATGATATGCAATACTGGGCAGGTGTAGTGATGCGAAATTTATGCCGGAAAGACGACAGCCGGGGTGGAATAAGACAGTGTGCCCACTATCAATGTGGAAAATGGGAACAATTCACGAGACAGTTTGCCAAATGTCGACGGTGCCGACGAACCAAATACTGCAGTAAAGAGTGTCAAAAAAGTGCGTGGATATTTCACCGTCATTGGTGTGTCGCGGCCAATTCCTAAAAGTTTTAGAAGTAAAGAACAGAATGCCGGCAAAATAACGAGCTCCATAATATTATCATGCCACGATAACGTTTTCATGAACGTATAAAATAGCAGGTCCAACCCACGCTTCCCGCTACGACTAAGATCATCTCTCACCCCAGAAACCCCAGTATCATAATTGCACCCTGTCTGGCGTTAAACAATCATTTACAGCATGGATACCTCTGATACACCCATTTCCTTGATTGTTTTAATTTCTCAATGGTACAGGAGTCTAGGTCCGATAATTGTTGTCGTGAACCTTGCACGAAAGAAATATTATTCAGTGTGAGTAGACTGGAGGGTGGTGCTTCTGGTTGGTTTCTTTTATGCATGGGCGTTGTCTATTCCTTTTTTCTTAGTCTGGAGTCTCGCGCTCCAAAATTGTTTGTTCAAACCTGAACTGAAATTGCTTCAATGATGAATTAAGTGCGGACTCGGTTTGGAATATTTCTAGCCCGACCTCCCGGTATCGAATTTTGGGGCGGAAGGGCTGTGCATTGCGAGTAGTAAGGGATAGAGTTGGATGAAATTGAATTGCGTAAGTTTGAATGTTTGTGTGTCGGAGGGGGAGGCGAGTGAAAGAAAAATCAGGGCCATAAGATTGCTCCCTTCACATGTAAATAACAAGATGGAGAGGATTGAAGTTACAGACTACATCACGCAAACCTGTAGGGTAAGAGAAGACTAATGGATTGAGCTTGTCTTTGTAAATTCTATGTCTAAGTTATCCAAGGAAGCGTTTCCCCCAAGATTCTAGCTGTTATTCACCAGTGAACTCAAGAGGATCATTGATTTTACGTTCTTCACATACACTTCAGCGCCAGCCTACAGTGCCACTATCAAGAGATGCGCTTCACGAAGAAGAGCGATTAAACCTGAGCATGCGCTTGATGTGACAACGAAAGCGGGCCCGAACGCGGCGGGGAACAGATTGTTTGTCGAAATTGAGTGATATCGGGGTCTCATGTAAAGCTGGAGCAGCGGGTCCTTATGGAAGTTGCAGTAAGTGTCATGAAACCAACTATGTAATAGTAACGAGTGACATTATTTGCCTGTAATGTGGCCCACATTGTATATTAAACATCTCAAAGCTCCAAAAGGGTTATTCTCTCGCAGATAATCTAATTCACCGGATTTGACCTCGTCGATCTTGCTAAGCTTACTGTGATAATAAGCCTCCAAAAATGGCATTGAATAGCGCTGACGACGCCCGGGAGAAGAATAACGGTAGGAAGTGGGAAGACGTTCGGGATAAGCAAAACCCTAGGCCTGTAGAGAGAGAAGATTGATGTGTCAGCAGGTAATCTTACCCTTAATCAACCAGGAGATGTTGAGGGGATCAAGGCTGCACAACGTTTGACTGCGACGAATTGGGATGATACCATTGAGCCAACTAATTTTTTAATGGTTTCCCGAATTTTGAGTTGATGACATGATCGACTCTCTCACTTAGCCAAGATGCCGGTGAGCAGGCTAGTATCAAGTAATCACGCAGCTGTGTCTTTTACGAGAGTGATAGCTTATTCTTTCATCCAAGCCCTACGTGTGACAAAGCACAATTTGAAGAATTGGCAGTGGCCGCATGAGATCTCGGCTCACCGCTGAGATGCTGGTGCAGGTAGAATAGTCTTTTTCGAGAGGTTGATAGATACGCTTGGCGGTCTATGCCCGCGCAGGCGCGTCAAGCGCTCTACTGAGGGCTCAGATGCCGGGCCCTGCGCGTGGGCCGACTCAGCGTTAAATGAAAACACTCTTACTCACTCATCCAAGCCATGTCATCTAGTTACAGAGTTGTGGACCAACCACACTCCAATTGCAAATAGTGAGACGTCGCGGCTGGCCTAGTTGTAATATTTGATACGCGGAACACTGCGTATCCGTGCAGAAACAAGCAAATTCCTCTCTAGTTTCTAGAGCCATCAATATTCCACTCACATCCATGTTGAGACGTTTTTTTTAAATCATTTAATGTGTATTCAGCCATCTAACCATGACAATGTTAAGGTTACGTAGTAGGCGAACCACATATTTCAAGTACGCTATCTTCTTCATCGAAGACGTGCTTTCGCACAGCGCCGCCAAAGAGAAAGATAGACGATGATAGAGTGCGCTGGATAACAACACATCTCTCGTCTCAGCTTGCCGGAAGATCAGCGAAGACGCGGTCGCAGCATGAAGTCTGATAGTCACCTGCATTCTGCGCCGGGACCACAACGAAGTTGCGACACGTGCCGGCGCTTGAGTAGACTCGGACGTCAGGTGAGAGTTCATTGTTAGTGCAATGCTACGTTGGTGATTCCCGTGAAGTTGGAGGGACGCCTGTCATCTCTCAGCGATGAGGATTGTAGGTGTCATGGAACTGCGCGACGCTGCGATCTCGTCATCAGTTTCTCTAGTGATGCGGAGCTGGACTTGGATGTCTCTCAATAGCCCTAAACTATCGCAGAAGACGCCTTGAGACTTTTTCTTGGTGCCCACGTGCCTCGCTCCCGGAACTTGGATTCAATGTATCCGCAGCCCATACACGTCGATTCATCCAACTTCACTTCAACCGCGAACGAAACTCAACGATTATCAGTGATGTCCCCACCCATCTCCAGACCTCACCGTCGACTCTGCAAGGCCGAGATTGAATAACACCTTCATTTTCACTCCGACGAGGATTACCAAAGCTCCCGCGGTCAGTGTCGTCCTTATCTCTCAGCACAACACCCTAGCACCGATATTGTGAAGCTAATCACGATAAGACCAGTTGCTGGTGTCGAAGCCCTTCTCTACACCAATTATATTGGTCATGAAGGAAAAGCCATCCCATAAGTTTCCGGAGCGTACTAATTTCCCGATATGGCGATGATGGATTGGATCAACTTTGCCTTTGTTATTACGGGGAAGGGAGAAAAAGAAAGATACACATACCTCATCTCGCTGACATTAAAGGGCTTTGGACATTTCTTTCACGCATGCGCTGTTTCTATTGCTACTTTATTATTTTTTGAGGGGAAGGTTTCGTGGTAAAGGAGGCTGAGTTCTACGGGTAGATACTAAGGCAAACGGCTACCCATCATGAGCACAATATCCGATATCTTTCGAACATGAAAGGATAGAAGCACCCTACAAGGTGTAGTTAGGGTCAGAGGGGGGTCCAGCGTGCGAGATAGTCGTTGACCCAAGTGGTATAATAAGCATCAAACCAACCACTGCAAGCTCTTTCTGCTTATATACCAGTCCTTTCCACGAGGATAGCTTTTGCATTGAAATATTATTGATAAATCGCAATTTACTAGAGTTGCCAAGTATATTCTGGGAGCCCATCACACCGTCAGCATTAAAAGGGACTTTAATATAAGTTGAATCCAATTTATTTGTCCACTTACACAACACGAACCTCCTTTATCCGTGAGTCTCCGTCATCTGGAAGATTTTATCTTAGTGCGATTGGCGATGCCTTGGTATCTGATCAGATGACAATGTAGGTTGGCAGAAAGATGTTCTTGTCTACTCTATCTACAATGGTAATACCCCCTGGTGAATCAGTAATGGGGATCCCAACACTAAATGAAGGAAACCCTCTGTTGGAATCAAAAAGAAAATTTTGTTTAAATAGTCTGTCCAACATTGTTGTCAATTCAATTAAGACATAATTGGATGAGTTACAGCAGCGACACATCTGATGAAATTACACGGGGTTGACTATTCAGCCTTGAACCCTTAAATCGTGCCAAGACCTCATTACAGCATCACTCCAATTCGAGATACCAAATCTACAAAGTGGTTGAGGGGTGACATATATGATAAAAATCAACGATGCAAACTTCTTGAGCGTGCCTTCACACCTTACTCGGAAGCAAGGAAAAATTGTACATTAGCCTAATTTGATTACCTTGAGCTATTTCCTATTCAAGACGAGATCTATTCCCAAAATAATGAAACTTCACTCAATCGATCGGCCAAGACAGTGTACCACTGAGCTATGAGACTAAAGTGGTGACTTCGTCGAGCAGAGAACCTTGTGCATGAAGCTCGGCCAACTCCTGTCGATGACACGCACGATTTCAGTCAGTCCCATTCTGTAGCGTGCGAGGAAACGACACTTTCAATACGCTCAAGGAGCTTACCACGCCAACGACCGGTCCCAAGTAGGTCGAATTTCGTTTAGAGCATATTAATCTCTTCTTGCCCGAACTACGAGACTATCTCGGACTCTGCCCGTGGCCTGAAACATGTCGAGTCCTATCGTCTGGGGAACCCGCTACACGCGCGCCGTAGCGCAAGAATTGCTACATCCTATATTCCTACGGAATGGTGGCTCAGCCCGCATTAGACGAAGAATAATGCTCAAACTCCAGAAATGCTCACAATCTCCGAACCTCCTTGCAACGGTAGATCTCCGCTTCACTCTAAGCATGCACCTCTACGAAATACTACTCGCATTTATCTGTGTTTATGAACCTAATCTCCGCTTCAAAAGTGTTCCCCACTCGGTGTGCCTTTCCTGTGTCTCTCCACATAGTCATAGCATATCACCATTACTACTCTCCATGTTAGGGCAAGCATCGTCAGTAAACGGTGCGATTATGGAGATGGCTTACTGCCTTATATTGTGGAGAGAGCAAATTCCTGCACAAATGTGAAGAGTAGAAAAAAATCGGATAGTGAGATTTCAGCTCCAGGTAGACTGAATTCTATCCATGAATTTGATTTTGGCGGTGCCACAACCTTATTGTCGGAATTTTCGTCCAAAATATATCGTATATTTCTTTTGATTCGACGACTCGTCAGGTCAATAGACGTCCGTCTTGTTTGCGACTGAATCTAGATTCATGGGAGGTCTTCTCTGGCCGGCTTCGCATTATACTCTAGCAAAATAATCTCCGAGATCTACAATGCCCTTCCCAGTGATACTTTCAACCTTCTACCTGCTGGACCCATGACATGGTCTTGCCCATCTTCAACGGATATCCCGCCACTAAGTAACT